GTATTCTGGTAAACTGTTTGCTTTTTTGTTTCTTAACTTTTTAAATAATTTTTAAACGTTTTCAATTTTAAAATTAATTTACGGAAAATCATTGAAGTATTTATCAAAAAAATTGAAAATAATTTAATTCATTTCAAGAATTTTATCAACATTTTTTTCAATAATTGAATTCTTTCGAGAAAATTTAATTAAAATTGTATTGAAAATAATTAAATTATTGGCAAGATTTTTATTAAAATTCTTTAAAATAATTGAATTGTTTTGAAGAAATTTATTTCAATTTTCTTGAAAATAATGGAGTTTTTTCAAAATAATTTTTAGTTAAAATTTTAATTTTCCCATTAAATTGTATTAAAATTATTGATAGAAAATTAAATTATTTTAAACAATTTTATTAGATTTTTTTGCAAATAATTACATTTTTATAAGAATTTCATTAAATTTCGTAAATTATTGTAATTATTTGTAATTTTTAAAATAATTTGAATTGAAAATTTTGAAAATAATTGAAATTTACAAAGAATTTTATTAAAATTTTTCAGAATAGTTAAATTGTTTAGAAAAATTTTATTACAATTTTTAAAAATAATTGAACCTGTTAGAGAAATTGTATTAAAATTATCTTGAATATAATTCAATTTTTTCCTAGAGATTTTATTAAAATTGTATTGAAAATAATTGAATTTCTCAGATGAATTTTATTACTTACAAAAATAATTGAATTCTTGCCAAGAATTTTACAATTTATGAAATAATTGAATTGTTTCGAAGAATGTTATCAGAATTGTTGAAAATAATTGAATTTTTATTAAAACTATAGAAAATAATTGTATTAAAATAATATTTTTTTTAAATAATTGTATTCTTTCGAGAAATTGTATTAAAATTGTATTGAAAATAATTGAATTCCTGCAAACGATTTTACTATTTATGAAAATAATTGAATTCCTTTGAAGAATTTTTTTTATTTATGAAAATATTTTAATTTTTGGGAAGAATTTTCTTAATTATGAAAATAATTGAATTCTTGCGGAGGATTTTTCAATTCATAAAAATAATTGAATTCTTTTGAAGAATTTTATCTGAATTTTTGAAAATAATTGAATTTTTTGAAGGAATTTTATTAAAATTGTTTTAAAAATCATTGAATTTTTGTAAAGATTTAACTGTTTAAAAAAATAATTGAATTGTTTAGAAGGATTTATTAAAATTTCAGAAAATAATTGAATTCTTTCGTGAAATTTTATTAAAATTTTTGATAATATATAATTAATTTTGTACTTAATAAGTGAATTTTATAAATTTTGATTATGAAATTATTTTTAAACAATTTTTATTTCAAAATAAAAAATTTTGTAATTTGCATAACAATAATAAATTGAATATCACGTTCCGCGCGCGTAAAATTTGCTAGTAATATTAATAATAATAATAATTTAAAAATAAAAAATTAGAGTTAATAAATTAATTTTGTCGAGTTTTCGAAAAAAAAAATGATTAGGAAATAATTAGTGGGAGAAAGAGGAACTTTAACGAAATTGCGTCTGATCATACCGTAAATTGAATTATATTATAGGAAATTGATGTTTGGTGGAGTGTTCATGTTGTGAAGATGACGAACAAGATTAAAAGCGAATCTAGAGAAAATACAATTATCTTTATCGAGGGAAAGTTAACTTAGAAATTTATACTATGCGGGTGACTTTACGATATAAAATATATTGAGATTTGCAACAAAGCTTAAAGGTTAATCACTTTATTCCCGCAGTTCGTAAAAATATTTTAATCCAGATCAACGCGAGATATTGCGCGGTCGAATTATTTTAATTAAAAATTGTGAACAATTTTTTCTATGCAAATTCTCTGAAAACTATAAAAAATAAAGAATCTATTATTGTCTAAAATTTCCGAAATTTCAAAAATTGGCTAAAATCTAAAAAATCTGTGTGTAAAGTTTAGGAAAAATGAGAAAATTTTTTCTATTGTATATTTTAGCAAAAATTCACTTTGAAAATATAGTAAAAGTTTGACAGAAAGACGCAAGAATTTTGAGAAATTCTAAAATTAGAAAACAAAGTTTGAGAAAAATCGGGAAAGGGAACAGGAAATTTTTTTCTATTGCATTGCTCCTTCTTATCGCAGAATCAGCAACTAGTGACTAATTTCTGCACCTATAATTGTGCACGTTTTCGATGTATCTCACGGAATCGAGATATCGTGTAATACAAGTGATGTATCTGTGTACACAAATTCCATCTACACACTCTTGAACATATAAAATCCGCAAAGTAAACTCGATTTCCCTTTAGATTTGCAAATGTGTTGTCACGCTGATGGCGAATCGGAAGAGCGCGAGAAAATGATAGCGCGCGGGTGCACATACGAGGCGAAACATCATTCGCGAGCTAATTAGACGCGAAGCGCGATGTTTCCTATTTTTTTTTTTTTCCTTTTCTTTTTTTCTGTAAAATAAAAATATAGCGAGAAATCGATTCCTTTCGGTAAACAACAACTATTTTGCCAGGCTTTCTAACGCGCGAACATAGAATTTCCACGCTTTGAAGATCATTCGAGGTGAACTTTCATTTGCCGCAAAATTAATTAGCCGATGTATGTAGACGACTTTGGTAATTATTGTGAGGAATCTCCAATTTTTTTTCTCGTGTTTCAAAATTTTTAATAAAATTCCTTCAAAAAATTCAATTATTTTCAAAAATTCAGATAAAATTCTTCAAAAGAATTCAATTATTTTTATGAATTGAAAAATCCTCCGCAAGAATTCAATTATTTTCATAAATAAGAAAATTTTCCGCAAGAATTAAAATATTTTCATAAATAAAAAAAATTCTTCAAAGGAATTCAATTATTTTCATAAATAATAAAATGTTTCGGAGGAATTCAATTACTTTCGATACAATTTTAATACAATTTCTCGAAACAATACAATTATTTTTAGAAATTTTAATTAAATTCGATTATTTTCAAGAGTTTTAATAAAAATTCAATTATTTTTGACATTCTGATGAAATTTTTTTTAAAAAATTATTATTTTCAAAATAATAATTCCAGAAATATTAAAAATCCTAAGAAAGAAAAAAGAAAAGTTAAATTAAAAGAAAGTTTTAAATGGTAGATATATAGAAAAATATTCTGACGGTTATTTTGTCTCTTTACAAATCAGAGTTTTTTTTAGATTCATTTAAAAAAATGTTTTAGAATCGTTTTGATTGTGGAATTTTTTTCCCCGCGTCTCTTTATTCCCTGACAATATCTGCTGTGGATCTGTATTTTTTTGTGTGGGACTATTATACAAATGTCATTATTTTTAGTTGTCAGTTTTGTCATACGTTATTTCCTGAGACGATAATTTTCTCTTTTTTTTTCTATGTATATTTCAGTTTCCTGTTTTATATTATCCTCCATAACTTCCTTAATCTTCCCTTGGGAGGAAACCCTTATTTCTATAGAGAAAACTTTTTTTCAGAAATGATATAAAACATTCAAAAATTTCAACTAATTTTTTTATTTTATTTATTAAAAAAGGGTCAAAAAATGCTGCGCGGAAATGCGGTCTTTTAATTCAAAGAAGCTCTGAAATTCTTGGGAAAAATTTTATTATTCCTAATTTTTCATTTGACTGAATTCTAAATTAGGGTAATTTTTATTTATACCGTTTAAGTATTAAGTCAAAAAAAAAATTATTTTATTTAAATAATGGATTTTTTACTATTGTTATCGAATGAAAACTTAATTTTCCAGAAAATAATTTTTTAAGTCGAAATAAATATTTAATTTTCGATGAAATAATTTTTCTTAAAAAAATAAATATTTGTTTGCTGAAAATATTTTTTTAAGACGAAATAAATATTTATTTTCGTGAAATAATTTTTCTTAAACCAAATAAGTATTTGATTGTGGAAAATAATTTTTTAAGTCGAAATAAATATTTAATTTTGCAAGAAATAATTTTTTAAATCGAAATAAGTATTTAATTTTTATTTAGTAAAAAAAATTAAAAAAAGTAGAAAAAAAGCAGAAAAAAATTTGTTTAATTAAGTTTTAGTAAAAATTACCAACTAAATTTAGCAGAATATTATTTGTAAACTTTATCTTCTACTAAGCTGTCGACATTTATCTCTAAATCTCTCAAAAAAAAGGAATAGCAATAATAATAATAATAATTAAAAAAATATAATTCACTTCGTTATCCTCTTGTATAAAAAATAAATTTCAATAATTTTACAGTAACTCAAAAAGAGATTTGTTTCTCACTCCAAACTTTCAAATTGCAGTCAAAAAAGTATTTTGATTGCTTTATTTCAAAATCGGCAATTATTCAACAAAAAAGAAAAATAATTCCAGATTTTCCATTTTCTTATTAAAAACAAAAAAATCTTTCGATATTTTATAGATTCATAAATCAAACGATTATTAAACATTTTAACAACTTAATCGAAAAAAAAGTGTTCACCTGGTTAATTCCAAAAATTGGAATATCTATAATTATACCCAAAATACTTAATTTTCCCAACACCAATAAAACAACCAACAATTATTTCACAAAATTAGAGATAAATTTTCAGTATTTTAATTTTATCACACCTTTTTTCTCCTAATAATAAATATATAAGAAATTTTTTGTTAATAATAGGTGTGAGTGTATATTGGATTTTGAGATATAAATTCCTATATAGTTAAATAGCCCTTCTCTTATAAAAAAAACTCTCTGTCATAACTCTCAATCTCCTTTTTGATTCGGGTGCGTAGCACCACACGATTTACTTCTTTTTGAGAGAGAGAGAGAAAGAGATAGAGAATGAGTTTAAACGTATAGAAAAAGTGCTACTTTTGTTATAGAGAGACGTGGAGCCGCATCAAGTTCACGCCCGCCGCATTTGCTCTCCTAAAAACAACCTCCTCACGAATCTTATATCCCCTTTTTTTCTTAATGCAGGTTTTAAAACCTTTTAATATAAGATCGAGTATAAAATATTACATACCAGTGAAGGGCGGATCCGTTGTATATATAGTAGTGTGTGGGGCCGAATATCCTCGATATTTCCTTTTCCCCATCAATTCACCTACTCTGCGATCTGAAATGTAATAAAGGAAATTAGTAAAGAGGCAATAAAAATTCACATATTAAATGTACGTATTTTTTACTATTAGTCTTCTGTTTTTTGAGATTAGTGAATTCACGAATTAGTGACTCAATTTTCACTAATTCAAATTTGATTTGATGAAAATTGAGTCACTAATTCATATTAGAGTAATTCTTACTATTTTTTTACTAGTCATTTTTCAAAATAACTTTAGTAAAATTTTTACTATAAAACTTTAGTAAAAAAGAATTAAAATTACTAAACAAAAAAGGAATATTTTACTAATACAAAATTTTTCTTATTACTGAAAAGTAGTGAATAATTCTACTAAAGTGAATTAGTGGCTCAATTTTTAATAATTCAGTATTCGGATCAATCTTAAGACGCCAAAAAATAGTAAAAAACTAAAAAAGCAATTTTAGTTGATCTAAAATACCAAAAAGTAAAGAAAGTCTTTTTATTTTTTTAAAGGTTTCAAAAAAAAATTTATTTTTCATTTCCTTCGATTTACAGAAAATTTAATTTTTCTCGTATGCCGATAATAACATGAACTTGAAGCATTTTATCAAAAAAATTGAAAATATCAGAATTAATTAATTAATTAAAATTGTATTGAAAATAATTTAATTCTTGACAAAATTTTTATTAAAATTCTTGAAAATAATTGAATTGCTTTGAAGAATTTATTTTAATTTTCTTGAAAATAACGGAGTTTTTTTTAATAATTTTTACTGAAAATTTTGAAAGTAATTGAATTTTATGAAGAATTTTTTTTTAAGTTTTTAGAATAATCGTGTATGCTAATAATTTTAATTAGAAATTTTCCTAATAAATTGTATTAAAATTATTGATAGAAAATTAAATTATTTTAAACAGTTTTATTCGATTTTTTGTAAGTAAATACCTACATTATTTTAAGAATTTCATTAAATCTCGTAAAAATAATGTATTTTTTAAAAATAATTTTAATTGATAATTTTGAAAATAATTAAAATTTACACAGAATTTTATTAAAAACTTTTAAGAACAATTAAATTGTTTAGAAAAATTTTATTACAATTCTTAAAAATAATTGAATTTGTTAGAGAAATTTGATTAAAATTGTATTGAAAATAATTTAATTTCTCAGAAGAATTTTATTATTTACAAAAATAATTGAATTCTTGACAAGAATTTTAAAATTTATAAAAATTATTGAATTGTTTCGAAGAATTTTATCAGAATTATTGAAAATAATTTAATTTTTATTAAAACTCTAGAAAATAATTGAATTTAAATAATATTTTTAAAAAATAATTGTATTCTTTCGAGAAATTTTACTTAAATTATATTGGAAATAATTAAATTCCCCCAAAACATTTTATTATTTATGAAAATAATTGAATTCCTTTGAACAATTTTATTATTAATGAAAATATTTTAATTTTTGCGATGAATTTTTTTATTTTTGAAAATAATTGAATTCTTTCGAAGGATTTTACAATTTATAAAAATAATTGGAATGTTTCGAAGAATTTTATCTGAATTTTTGAACATAATTGAATTTTTGAAAAACGCGAATCTTAACTGAAAATGAAAAAGAAAATGAGGTTTTAAAGAATTTTTGCTTCTTTGCAGTTTTGAATTAAAAAAGAAATTTATTTTGTGGGTAAATAAATTTCTGCCGTTAAAATTAATCCATTTTCACAAAGAAAGAATTGAATTGTTTCGAAGAATTTTATCTGAATTTTTTGAAGGAATTTTATTAACAATTTTAAAAATAATTATTTTTTTAAAAGAATTTCATCAAAAGTGTAAAAAATAATTGAATTTATAATAAAATTCTTGCCAATAATCGAATTTAAATAATATTTTTTAAAATAATTGTTTTCTTTCGAGAAATTTTATTAAAATTATATTCAAAATAATTGAATTCCCCCGAAATATTTTATTATTTATGAAAATAATTGAATTCCTGCGACAAATTTTATTATTTATGAAAATAATTATAGAATTTTATTAAATTTTTTTTAAATAAGAGAATTTTTTGCCAGAATAATTGAATTCATGTGAAGAAATTTATTATTTATGAGAATAATTAAATCCATCCTAGAAATTTTATTAAAATAAAAAATTGTATTAAAAATAATTGCATTTTTATGAGAATAATTTTATTATTAATAAAAAAAATTGAATTCTTGCGAAGAATTTTACTATTTATAAAAATAATTCAATTTGTTTCGAAGAATTTTATTAAAATTTTAGAAAATAATTAAATCGAAGAATTGCGTTTGCAAAGTATAAAAAATTGAATTTTAGAGTTTTGAATTTAGTTTAGAATTTATTTTAAAAAATTACATTCCTGTGGAAAAATAATAATTATTAGTTAAAAAAAAAAATATAGTTCTTGCGAATAATTTTGCAATTGAAGATATTTACAAATAAATGTATATAAGAAACATTTTCTTTTAGAGTAAATTGGAGTGAATCAGAATATTCTTTAGAATCACCGAGAAAAAGCCAAAATTGTGTTTGAAATTCAAGATAAATTGAGTAGAAATCAAAATAAAATTTTTCTGACAACCCTGATATATAATATAATATATGTACATATGTACATAAATATGTATATAAATATATATTTGAAAATAAATAACAATGAATATTGTGTGTGTACACGCATGGGAAATATAGTGCAGCTGCATTACCTGAAGGCAAATGTAGAAAAAAGCAAAGTTTGTAAGAATAGTTTAGTTAGAGAGATCATAAGATAATCCCCAAATGAAAAAGCAGCACCCAGAGACATGTTATGTTTGCTCCGTTTGTAACTGCAAGCCAAAATCTCTCTGAGCTTTAAAAGAAACTTAAATCGAGCACGAGTCCGGTGATAATTTCTTTCGACAACATTTGAGGACAATGTTGCAGCTGTGAAAGCAAGGGCATATATTTTTTTTAACGGGCCGCAAAACTATAAGCCTTAGAGCAATACGTACTCCCTTTTTTTTGTTGATTAGTTTATACAGTGCGGGAATGTAATTTATTAGAAATTCAGATGGATTACAACGTTTTTTGCGTGACGAATAGTATATTGAGGGGATTTTACTGTAATTAATTTTATACATTTTTCCAAAGCAAATACAGAAAAAAATAGCAGTCATTTTTTCGATATTTCTCCTGTTAGCTCTAAATTTGAATTATCAGGTTTCGGAGATCGTAGGACATTTCAGATTTCTTTTTACTATTTTCAAAAAAGGCGCCTCTTTACCATTATCTTCATAAATAACAAAATTCTTCACTGAAATTCAATTATTTTAAAAAATTTCAACGAATATCTCGTCAAGAATTCAATTACTTTTATAAATAGCAACATTTTTCACTAAAAAATCATTATCTTCAAAATTTTTAATCATTAATCCTTTAAAAAATTCAATTATTTTAAAAAATTTAGATAAAATTCTTCGAAACAATTAAATTTTTTCTTTGTGAAAATGGATTAATTTTAACAGCAGAAATTTATTTACCCACAAAATAGAATTTTTCGCCACAGTGAAAAATACTATTTTGTGGGAAAATAAATTTCTTTTTTAATTCAAAACTGCAAAGAAGCAAAAATTCTTTAAAACCCTCGTTGTCTTTTTCATTTTCAGTTAAGATTCGCGTCCTTCAAAAAATTTTATTATTTTCAAAAATTCAGATAAAATTCTTCGAAACATTCCAATTATTTTTATAAATTGTAAAATCCTCCTCAAGAATTCAATTAATTATTTTCATAAATAAAAAAATTAATCGCAATAATTAAAATATTTTCATAAATAATAAAATTCTTCAAAGAAATTCAATTATTTTCATAAATAATAAAATGTTTCGAAGAAATTCAATTATTTTCAATATAACTTTAATAATATTTCTCGAAAGAAAACAATTATTTTTAAAAAATATTATTTAAATTCAATTATTCAATTATTCAATAAAATGATAAAATTCGTAGCAATAATTCAATTATTTTCATAAATAACTTTTAATTCGTCGCAGAAAATCAATTATTTTCAAACATTTTTAAGTAATTCTGCAAAAGAATTCAATTATTTTTGTTAAATAAAAAAATTCCTCTCATAAAATCAATTTTTTTGAGGAATTTTAATAAAATTCTTTTTCAAAATCCAATTATTTTGATAAATATCAAAATTTATTAGAAGAATTCAATTTTTTTGAGAAGTAATAAAATACTTTACAATTTTAACGTTTTCATTAAATAAAATAAAATGAAATAAATTTCTTTGTAAGAATTCAATTATTTTTACAAACAATACAATTTTTTACGGGAATTCAATTATTTAAAAAAATATTAATAAAATTCTTTGCAAAATTTCAATTACTTTCATAAATAACAAATATTTTACAGGAGTTTAATTATTTACGAATTTTTTATAAACTTCTTCGCAATAATTCAATGATTTTCATAAATAATAAAATTCTTTTTAAGAATTCAATTATTTTTAAAATTAATAAAACTCATCGCTCAATTTCAATTACTTTTTAATACAATTATAATCAAATTCCTCGAAAAAGTAATTATTCTTAAAAATTTTATTAAAATTCTTTATGAGAATTCATATTTAAGAAACAATCAATTAATCAATAATTTTTTTTTTGTATTTAATTAATTAAATTCTTGTAAAATTTTCGAATACAAAAAAAAATAATTGAAAAATAATTGAATTTTGAGAAGGTTTCAAATTAAAATCTTTGAAAATCTAAATTTTTTATACTTTTAACTAATAATTCTGTAGAATTAATTTTTTTTTGAAAAAGTTTATTTGATTTTTTTTCTACAATTATTTGTAGTTTTTATTTTCTTATAATATATTTAATTTAAGAATTTCCGAATAATCGATTTATTATTTATATCAAAATAATTAAATTTTGTTGAGAAATTTTATTAAAATAGTATATTTTGAAAATATTTGAATTTCAGCGAAGAATTTCACTATTTATAAAAAGTAATTGAATTC